TCAGTTCCCCGTCCCTAACTTTCAGCTCTGGGGGTTGTCTGAGGACAACTGGTCTTGGTATTGAAAACTGAGGCAAAGAAGGCATTGAGCACTTCTGCTTTTTCCTCATCCCCTGATACTACACTACCCTCTGCGTTCAGCAAATGATGGAGACTCTCCTTGACCCTCCTTTTACTGCCAATGTATTTATAGAAACTTTTTTTTATTATCTCTAACTGCAGTGGCCAAATCAAGTTCTAGTTGAGCTTTGGCGCTTCTAATCTTCTCCCTACATGACTTCACAACATCCCTATATTCCTCCCAAGTTACCTGGCCTCCCTTCCAGAGATGATATATTCTCTTTTTTTCCCCCTAAGCTCCACGCTAAGTTCTCTGTTTATCCAGGTTGGTCTTTTTCCCCCCGACGACTTGTCTTTCTATACATGGGGACAGGCTGCTCCTGAATATTTAACAATTCCATTTTAAAGTACATCCAACCTTCCTGGACTCGTTTGTCCTTCAGGAATGTCTCCCAAGGGACGCTGTCAATCAATCTCCTGAACAGGCTAAAGTCAGCCCGCCGGAACTCCAAGGTGGAAGTTCTGCTTGTGGCCCTCCTTACTTCACCCAGTATTGAAAACGCTAACATTTCCTGGTCACTATGCCCAAGAAGGCCACTGACCATCACATCACCCACTAGTCCTTCCCTGTTCACAAACAACAGGTCTAGCAGGGCACCTCCTCTAAAATCCTGAATGATATCATAATAGACTTTTATGGAGAATTTAAAACAAATCAAAATTCAAGGGGAAGGAGAGGAAAGGATTTAACAGAAAAATTTACAACAGCAGAAAGAACCAAAGCAAAAATGATAGCAAGAAAAAAACAAGATAAAGAAATTAAGATGAGTTATTAACAACCAAAGAGTATGTATGAGTAACAGTAATTCCAAAAATAAGCTGCAGATTTAGCGTGCAGTTTTCCAGAAGGTGCATTCATTTAACAAAACAAGAAATCTGAAACTTGTTAAATTCTAAAGTCACCAAATTTGGGGGCAGGGTGGGGGTGGAAGGAGGGGAACAAGTAAAGCAAGTAGTAGCTAGGCTAGGATTCTACAACATACAGTTTATTTACTCCCCTTTCTGCAAATGCAAAGAAGTGGAAAGAAGTCAAAAGCTTGAATAAATAAATGCTATGTAGTGGTTTGAGAGGACAGATTGTTAAGCAATAGGAAGAGAAACAATTTTATGCATTTTATGCAGTTCAGAACTCAAAAGCTGCAGCACCTTATTAACATAGTGCCTGGTCAGGTCTGCATGTGCTAGTGATATATTTTGTAGTGACAGTCCCCTTCATACCAGATGGACTTCTACAAACCTCACATTTAGAGTGACAAAGATGTGTTCTACAAAACTGTAAATCAAATTAGTGAGTGTTTACCGCATTTGCATTTAAAAATAATGGAGACAATACCTGTTCTGTTCCCAGGGGAACTTCTGTCTTCCCCAGAGATCCTTGGAGCTCTCTGTACTTTAGCCGCCTTTGCACTGCTGTTTATTACTTTAATGGTGGTTGGGGTAGCAGGCTGTACAGATGCTGGAATAATCTGCACCGCTGTAAAGCACAGAATGTTGCAGAACATCAATTATAAATTGCTGGCACAAAAAGAGGCATATATTATTTATTACCTGTATTATCATAACATCTAAGAGGTAATTTTTTCCTTTGCTAAAAAGACACACTGTATAAGTCACAATTTTAAGAATAATTTAAAGACTTTTTACCTCTTACAGTGGAAATTGTGGGTTTTGACTCGCAGTAGAGATGCCACATTACGGATAAAACATCAGCTTTAGTTTACTATCATGTGTATTACATGTTTCCATAAAAAACCACCAAACCCTCTCATGCCTTTGTTTTCATCTTTATGTTCTTCCCATATGACCTACCCTAATACACTTGTCTCCATAGTCACTGTACAACCCTCCACACCTGCTATTCAAACAGCAATTAAATACCCTTCTATTGCAATGGTACAAGAGGATGCAAATGCCCCACCCTAGGTGGCTTTAACTAGACACAAACCCAGGATGTAATATATGGTTTATCTATTTAACATATAAGCTGCTTAAAAGTCTTCGGAAAATCGATTAATTTTAATAATTGATGACAATGCTTCAGCTGGAAGAAGGAGTTTCAAATAACTGGAAAGTTACTTTAATGTATTCTTTCCAGTATTGGTTTCTAAGCAAGTCCTCTCTTCCACACTCCCTTTCAGTTTTTGAAAATGCTTTCTTTTGAAATTATAACATTTTAATATACATATTCATTAATGCAACATATAACCTAAAAAACCAGAACTACTCAAGACCTCAAATACATATCCTAAGCAGCTTATTTCAAGAGAGTGGAAAACCTACCGTCCAAAATGAAAGTTAGAAACAGTACAGCGCTAAACCTGCAAACAGTTAATTATGTGAATTAACAGCTTGCAGAAGTACTTACGCTGATCAATAGTAACAGTTGCTATTTCTCCAGAGTGCTCTTGGCTAGCCAACACATCTGCAAATTAAAAAAAAAAATATTTTGAAAAACTAGTAAGTTTTTATTTAACTCACAAATTTCAAGTCACATGAATATCAAAAACTTTCATATTTCATAGAGAAAAAAGTCTAAATTTGGTATCAGTCTGCCAGAGACATGCATAGCTTATGGTCTTAAGAGTAGAGACATTTCATGTCTGTCATTCAGATTTTAGAAATAAGGATGTACATGGTGAATTTCAAGGTATCTTATGCATTCTCCATCTTTAGCTATATCATGTAAATGAAGATGGAAATAGTCTGGTCTGCCATCCAAGCATGGTAAATCTGAAATGCACATATACATTATTGTATTATACACATGCAACGCATCACTTATCAGTTACGTTGGGTACAATCTAAGGATTTCATTGCCTATGCTTAATAACTTTGACTTCTATATGACACAGAGATGTACATTAAATAACTCACAATCAATATTTAATTATAAAACTGTCAAATTCAGGAGATGCACAAACTAAAAATCTTTACTGAAACAAAGGAGGAACCACCAGTCATTACTTTCTCCCTATTAGTTATGAAGTTTGATGAAAGACAGGCAGTGTTCAGTATGCAGACATGTTTCATAACAGCAGACATTCTCACTAATACCTCCTGTTATCTTGTATCGATGCCCTCATTTTGACTGCCAATATTAAATAGAGGAAAAACAACTGGTTTCATCTTTAAAGAATGGGGAGGGGAGCAGTGCAAGAAGACAGAGAGAGAGGTAAGCCAAATCAGTTACAGAAAATCTCCCATACACTTTCGAAGCAGCTCCAAATGGCTCCAGAGGATTTCTCCCCGCGGGACGCGCTGGAAGAAGTCTTCTTGACTGAGGCTGCAGAGCTCCCGCCCAGGAATGCTGAGTGCGTTGAGGTCAATATCCGTCATGCTGAACTCCTTCATCACCCACACCACCCAGTGAAGCACCTGGTCTGTTGACCACTGCACTGGGTCTGAGAAAAGAGACACAAAATGGCAAATCATCCCATTATACACTGCAAGGGTCCTCCTCACCGAGGATACAGAGCCAGCCCTTACTGTAACTGACAACAAGAACAAAAGACAAGTGGCTACAGATCCACAGCATTCAAACAGGACTAACCCACAGTTCGTTTTTTTGTATGACCCTCTCTGAAGGTCTTTTAAAAACTTTATTTCAGGGGTTTTTGTTGTCTATTTATTTATTTTTTAAAAAGGGCTTGCTTCTAGGCCAGTCCCTGCTGCTATACAGTTCAAGTCCAATGATAGTATGTTTTCAATTATATAATAACTTCCATAAAAGAAAATACCTAACACCAAGAAATGTAGTTACCATAACAAAATCTGACTGGATGGAAAGTTGACTCCTCTTAAAATGCTGATGGAGTGGTGGTGCTTGGTGGGGAGGTGGAAAGGGCAAAAAGGGGACTTTATTTAGCAAAAGCTTTTACATCAGAACTACATCCAACATTTCTCAAACACAGAAAAGGAATTATTTTTCTTTTTTCCACAGGTCTTTAGTTTCAAAAAAGAGCAGTCTCTCTCACACCAGGATGCTCTTACTCAAATATGTTGATCAGCATGTGATTATGATGAAATACTGCATTTTAAACTCATTCACATTATCCCACTTTCTAAATTATTTAAAATTGCCATCGTGCCAGGTTTGGCTGAGATGGAGTTGATTTTCTTTATAGCAGCCGATAAGGTCCCGTGTTTTAGGTTGGTGACCAAAACAGCGTTGGTAACACACTGATATTTTAGCTTGCACAGAGTCAAGGTGTGACTGATGAGGGTGGAATGTGATTCCCCTACAATGGAAGAAGGCTCAGAGCAGATGGGCCAGGGTGAAGTCCTCACATAGCTCAGAGAATCATGCAAAGAAGCAGACTTTATCTCAACAAAAAGGAGGCAGAGGGTGGCCTTTCTTTTAGATAACCAGGTATCAACAGCAGAGTGGATCAGCTCGTGGTGTAAATGTCTCTCTGAGTCAGCCAGAGCAGCATGGGGGGAGTGAATACATCACTCAGTCCAACAGAGTACCCAAACTAGACAAATAGCAAAAGAATTCAAAGGAGAGCAATGGGCTTGGGGTGGTTTCAACCCACGTATTCCTTCCTGGCAACTGGGGACACCCAACATCGTGATGATGAGTATATTATATAGACACCAATAATGAGAACTGCATTGGTATTGTGATTGAACAATCTATTGCAATTGCTGTATTTTTCTAAGTGTAATTTACTTTTGTATTGTGTTTTTAGTATAATTTGTATCACTCTGCAAAATCAGAAATCCCACGTAACATCAACCATCTTCAAGTAAATTTGATATTAAACATTACAGCCTCCACAATGAAATATCTAAAAGGACCTGGTCAGAGAGTATTGGACTCTGATCAGGCCCTTCTGTGTTTCTCACTCAGCCACCCCAGCGAGTAGGCTGGGGGTGCGCAAGAAACTGGGAGAGGACGCAGCCAGGACAGCTTATTAAATTGTCTTTATCTTTACCAATGGTTCACTGGGTTTTTTTTTTTTAAATTCGCGTTGGCCCTTTTGATTCTTTCCCCCAGGCCTCAGGAGGGGAAGTGACCAAGTGATAGGACGAAGGTTCATCTGCCAGCTGGGGTCAACCCACCACACAGGTGGGCTAATAAATAAACATGCGCTGTATATATATATATGTAGATAAAACTGTAAAACAGTAAGTGTAATACACCACACCTAGAAAGACTACATTAAATAAACTATTAAAATAAGATTTGATACAGTAGGACCCAACGCATGCCTGTATTTGAATCAAACAAGCCACAGCATCATGTTTTGGGACGCCTGTTTAACATCACAGCGGAACAGAACATGCACATCATTTAATGACAGTGCCAAACACACAACTCACACAGCAGAAGAACACGCAGAAACGGTAACAAGTAACTCAAAATATGTGCAATACATGATTTGTTGACTAGAAGATATTTTAACTTAAAAAGTCTGTTGTTCCAAGCAGTACTTGTGTGAGCAAGCTAGAAAGAGGAGGGGTAAATCTCAGCACCATCTTCAAAACTTTGCTAACGGTGTATGCAATGTATTGAAACATGTCAACGAGTAGGAACTAGAAATAGAAACTGAAGCAGGGATATTTACTTTCATTTCTCAAGGGCAAAAAACAGGAGCAGAACAATCAGGTATTTTTAAATTACAATACCCCACACAGATGTCACCTTGACAAGTTTTTATTTTAAGAATTAATGAAAGTAAAGCTTTCTAAGCCTATAAACATTATCTAGGAGCCACAAATTCCATTTTGCTTAACAAAGGACAGTAACATTGCATCACTTTTCACTGATGCTACATAAAACCATGCTATGTAATCCTTTGGGAAAAGCCACACCAAAAGGATTTTGGTCTTCAAAGCATTACCAGCAGTGAATTTTCAACAAAAAGCTGCTAATTTGTTCTCATTGACAGAACATAATCTGCAAGGTAACATGAATCATTACTTTCTCTAACCAGTTCCATGGTTTCTAAGGTTTCTGCTGCTCCCTCTTCTGGCTTTATTTCTCATATCAATTAGTATTTTCCCTCTTCCTAGGGACCTTTGCAATGGTACCAAATTTTTGGATTCCGTTAGCAGAAATACCTTTAATAACTAAGAATTCGTAATCTCTAGTAAAACCCACCAAAATATAACACACAGGGAAAGCCACAACATTTTAAAGACCTGCTAAAAGCTAATTTTCCATTTGCAGCAGAACAGAGAAACCTGCAAGGAGGTAAGGATGAAGATACTGAACCACTACCTTTCTGGATGATGATTATTTACTGACTGGACTTTTAATATCATCATATCCTGTCTTTTGAAAAGATTCAAGGAATAATTTCAGATGAATCATTTCAGAGAACTTCACAGAACCAAGCCCCACAACTCTCTGAAGGAAAATGGCCTCTTTTTCTGTTTTTAAAGATGTATATCTATAAACGCTGGGGGGAGGGGAAAGGCTTTTTTGAGGGGCTGCATAAGAACCTTAAGAACATTCTTTATTCTCGGGAACTTCAGACTATCATAATGCAGAACACTTAGCGGTGCCTTATTTCAACCCAAGTCCCTGCAACATCAACTCAGACAACATTTAAAATTTTATTCTTTCTAGGAAGGCAGTTTAGCACATTTTTCTCACATCAAGAGAACGCTGTTATTCTTAATACAGAGATCTCTGCCGTAATGAACTAGTACGATCTTTCTGGAAAATCTGCACTCTCATGACACAGACGACATTAAACTTTCAAAGTCACAGTTAAGGGTTATAGGGTTTTCTTAAAGCAGCAACATTATTAAAGTTTAACAACTACTTTATTCAATACAACAACAACATGGTTTTAAGTAATTTTCTTCGTATACTAATGGGAGATCATGCTGAAACATCACCCTCATATTTGTTTTCAAACATTCTGCATCAAATCCTTGATTACCAACAGACATAGCATGATGAAAACTATTTTGGAAGTGCTTGCCAATAAGAACAACAGAAAGACATGAAAAAGTCATTGCTTTAGTTATCAGAAACACGTTCAAAATATTGGCAAACTGCATGTCCTGCAAAGACCTGTGACTTCACCAGAATTCTTTAACACTTCCAAATATCCCACTTGCCAAATATATTCCAGTTTTGCAGGTCTGCTTAGATACTACAGCTTCGTGTGCGGAATATGCCTTGACAGTGCATCTCTGCAAGTCACAACAAGCAACTCAGCTGGATAATCTCCTGAATGTGATGTAGGTCTAAAACCCACAGTTTCAGTTCAATCCTAAGCAGGCATTCAGAGATGCTTTTGCTAAGCTAACATTAAATTAGCAGCCTGCTAAGTGACAACTTTAATCCAAAAGTGATGACGATCTACCACAATACTTGTATTCAGTTCATCATCTTTTTCCACTATATTGAAGTATGGCTTTCTATTCAAAATCTGATTTAACATCATACTCAGCATCCTACAACCTATCAACAATTTGCTTCAGTATCTTTAGAGGCAATCCCCACCAAGTACTGAGTCTAGCTCAAATTCAGACACACATGAAAGAGAGCTTCATCACTAACACACACACATTTTTAAGGAGGGGAGGAAGAAGAAAACTGCTTTCTGAAAACTGCAATGACAAGAAGGTTATGAAGCAAAAAGCACTATTTTATTAAAATTATTACAAGCATTCATTCTACTTCTCTTTAGCCTTCTCTTACGCAGATGTTGCATTGTACTTACCCATACCATAAGGAGCCTTCTCTGAGGTACTGGAGCACTTCAACTATATAACCAAAATTAATGATCATTTTGGAAAAAACACCAAACCCCCAAATGAACAGAAGAACCCAGCCCCTACCCAAACACACGTACACACAGTCACAGAGAGTCATGTATTATTACCATAGGGTATGCCAAGGCGCTCCTGCTCCTTTCGGTAGCCTTCCAACGCAGCAGCCCATCGTGTCACCTGTTCAGAGGTTTCATCTGAAATTGTTGTAATATGTTTTGTTCCATCCAAGGTTATCACTTGAGCTTCCTCAACAAGGTGAGCTTCAGCCTCTGCATGATGAGCATCTGGATCTATCACCACTTCTACAGTCTCCACAGGTTTCACAATTTCAAGGATGTTTAACTTGGGCTCTATCCCTACGTATAGAAAGAACAAACACAAAACTTACAGATAGCAATGCAAATACGACAACAACATTGATTTAGAGCTTTCCGATTAACAAGTGTTAGCATACTTAGGAAAGAAGCATGACACAAAAGCATCCTCAAACTTCTGCAAGTGTCCTAAATTAGAGTGACATACACTATTATACAGTATATACTTTAGTAAGGTGAACAGAAAGCTGTCCCTCTTTCCTCCCCCACTATTACAGCTTCCTGTTCTATGAAGGTGATCCATTTCACATTTCTTGAACAGAATGTTCAGCATGTGGGCATGAAGAACAAGTACTACGGTCTGTAGGAAATAACATCTTGGTCTGTAGGAAATATACCAAGCCAAAGGAAAAAAAAAAAAAAAGCAACCCCCGCCCCTCCAAAAAACAGAACAAGCATCCAGCATTCCAGCATCCACCTGTTTCCTCCAACTAAGAGGCATTTCTTTCAGCCTTTACAATATTTCCCTGGTATCTCTGGGGTCTACACACAGGAGTTAATATTTTCTTTCAGTACCCTGAGAAGAGTAGTGTGTACAACAACAAGTTAAAAGACAATTAGAAAATTCTTCATGTTTTAAGCTTTATCAACTACTTGTGTTTTGGTTTTATGTCTGGAATTTAAGATATTAAACCATGTAGTTGGAAGATATGTCTGTATTCATTCTGCAGCAATAAAGAACGCATTCAGTAATGCTACTAATGTTTTGTATCACCACCTTCTCTCTCATCTTCTGAGAAGGTATTTTGTCCAACTGGTGCCTCACCAAATTTCTGACATGCTATAGAAGATTTTTCTTGTCATTATAATATAGTAAACAGAAAAAAAAACTCCTTCCATTTTTGTGACATATAATTTCCATTATAATAACAACGAACAATCACACTTCTTTAAGAGATGTTTATCAAACATATTTGCACATTAAAAAAAAAAATCTGTAAAACTCCATTTTATTATGGAAATAATAACTTGGAAAACCTTGACTAGGGTTAGGCAGTTGAAAGTAGGATTCATGGAACATCACATGGCCAGAACAACTTGAGTATCTTGTGCTATAAGGTATTACTTTGTGTCCCTTCCACCTAATCTATGTTAAAGCTCAATGCGAGATGGTAGATTCTGTAGGTAATGGTCTTAAAAGCTAAAACCAAAACCCATTCAGAGTTTATAAGGAAAAACAAATGGGAGTACTTACCTGTAGTACAAGTCAGAACAAACTAAGTATTTTTCAGACAAGTATTCCTCTAGACTTTAAAAGTAATTCAGTTTGAGAAAAATATTAGAAAGGGAACACTACAGACTGTAAGTACAACATCCAGCAATATGAAATTAAGCGAAAACAGATGTAGAAACCAGTAAGTGGTTGAATAGATGAAGAAACAAATATGAAGAAAAAACAAACAAGTACCTTACTTAGGAGAGTGTTTTATCTAGGCCATCTAAGATTAACTTGTGCAGCACAGGCTTGTTTTAAAGTCAAACAGAAATGGCTAAGGGAAAACACTAAGGGTTAAGATTCTATTTTTGATTCTTCAAAAAAGAAAGTAAAGAAAAAAAATCTTCTAGAAAGGAACAGTTCACTATTGCTCAACAAAGTAATTCACTGTCTGTCAAATAACTACATGTCAAAAGAACCGCGTATCTACTGTTTTATCCATAATTGCAAACATGGAGATCAAAGTGATGAGACTCTGTAGAGGAATCAGCTTATAAGTAAAAATGTTGTGAAGTAATAGTCTGCCACCTAACCTACCGCAACGTTAGATCAACATTAATTCACTGGGTTTGTCTGCTTCTCTTCTCACATCTCTCCCTTTACCTACGGCATAAGAAAACAGGTGTCTAGTCTTCCTTGGACAGCACGTTAAGTTGTGGAACACCACGTGACAATGTCACACACCCCAGAAGTATAAACTGGTGCAAAAAGTACAAAAATTCAAGGACATTAGCTATGAAGACATACCCAGATGTTGCCAGTACAAGTCCCTTCACTGCTAACTGTGTGAAGCTAGAGAATATACTAGGGTTAAGACTGACCTACAGGCAACCTGTATTTTTTTTCCTTGAAATGTCTAGTATTAACTACAGCCAGGCACAGGACATTAGTCAAACTGCACCTTTAATCTAAATCAGTATGTTTCATTTCACTTATGAATAGTTCTTTTATATACTAAAAATAGTAAAAGCCTAGATATTGCAAAAAACAGTTCAGAAACCACAGTCAAATGAGAATTTACACATTTAAAATAGGACTTAGACTTCAGCTACCTAAATCCAAAGAACCTTTTGTGCTTAACCAACACTTAGTCCCAACATCTGTGTAATTATCTATAGTACAGCTACATACACATGCTCAGAAATTCTCAAAGCAGCTAGACACTAATCTCTTACGGCAGTCAAGCATTTAAAAATTAGGTGGAACAACATCTGTTTGGGAAAACGTTAATCTTGCAGGTGTGCTTTGGGTGTGTGTAACAGACAGAACTGAGCTCAACACAAACAGCAGCTACAGACACTTTCATTGACAAACACAGCCTTGACTTGTTTGTGTATGTGGTACATGTACACCTTAAATGGCAGGCTAACTGGACTACCATTCGTATACTTTGCAAATAAGAAACAGCAAGCAAAACTACATTGTCCACCTCCATAACACAAGTCTCTCTCCTCCTATTGTTCAAACCGAGGACTGTCAGAGATCACTGCCCTCATTCTAGCCCTTTCAATCTAGTATCTCTGTCTCCCACAGCTCATCTGAAAAAAGTGTGGTAAGCACTTCCATTCAAGCTTACCACTGATTACTGCTAGCTGAACTCTATATATCATACAAGTTGGGGAAAAATAAAAATAAACAATTCAAGACTCTTTCAATACCTCATCCATAAAAGAAAAATATGCAGACGGCTTAAGAAGCTGTTTTATCCCTCTGGCTCAAAGGGACACTGCAGTCAGACTAACAAGTCCATTTCCCTGTTAGCGATACAAACATCTTCCTTTTATTATTTATATCCATGCTGTTTGTTTTCCAATATTCTGTCCTGCCATAGTTTACTTGCCTTCCACAGACAGATTTGCTTAAGTGTCAAGTATCATGGTCTGAAAAACAACACTGAGGATCACTCTGAAGTGATACAATAGTACTTAATACTCAGGTGCTTCCTTCTCAGGAGAGAGAAGGAAAAAAAAAAAGGCAGCTCCTTGTGCTATATGGTCATGTACCTCAGTGTTACATTAAAAAAGAAAAAAACCAAAACACAGGAAGAAAATGGAAGGTAATAGCGAAGATATTTATCACCTGCACCCTTTTGAAAATGGAAGTCTGAACACTGGATACTGCAAGTTACTGGGCATGAATTAAGAGCAGTTATTCTAGTTCCCTGAAGGATATTTCTGCTCTTTAAAACCAGAAAGGTCGTTCAATCCCCATTACATACAGGGCACTGAGGATTCAACCTAGCACCAGCCACCTCACACCCAGCATTAAATGCAAATCATCAGTCTTACTTAATACTGTTAATATAAAACAGAAAATCTTTCTTCTGTTTAATCTACACTGAAGCCCCAAGCAAACAAAACGTGCCCCCCAAGTTTTGCTAATCTGCTTTGCTGACATAACTCAAAACAGATAATCAAAGATACCCCACTCCAGTAGCAACTTGTTGTCACTGTTTGTTTGAAAGTACGGCAACAAACATCTGCAGCTGTTCCTGGAGCCCACATGAACGTTGTTTTCAGTGAATCGTGGCAGTCCTTCCACTCAAGACATGTGGAGGGGGCAAAGGAGAAGAACAGGACAAAAGCAAAACAATGAAGCTACTAATTCCTGAGGATTTGACAAGGAGAAATCCTATCATACCTGATAATACAAATAAAAACTATGTATCAACCCACCTGGTTAATGCTCCTCTGTCACAACAGTTTACTATGACTTCCCATCCAAAGAACACAGACAATAGATAGCGATCCCAGCCTTTCATACCAATTTTCACTTAGCTACATACACTCATAAACTAATCGTTCATGAAGCACACAAGCTCACTCACCTCACAAAGATGAAACTGTTGCCTACCTAGACAAAAATCTTCTGCCTGTTTAGATCCTTAGTCTCGTAACTGTCACTATTTGACTCTCATTTGTTTGTTTGGTTGGTTTTTGTTTGGCAGGGGTTTTTTCGTTTGGGGTTTTTTGTTTTACTTAGAAATTGATATGAAGGGTCTCGTAACTGTCACTATTTGACTCACATTTGTTTGTTCGGTTGGTTTTTGTTTGGCAGGGGTTTTTTTTGTTTGGGGGTTTTTGTTTTACTTAGAAATTGATATGAAGTTACTATAAAAAAACATTTCAAATAGCATTAGTCCATGACATTTATTTTAATTACTACTACTTATAACCACAGTACACAATGAAAGAGACATTCTGAAGCTATGTGATCATTCAGTGATTTTTCTCAATTTTACAGCTAGAAGTAGTAGGGGATTAGGTTTGCTCACAAGCACTCCAACAGTATTAGTTTGTCTGTACAACAGACAAACGTAACTGCTTACCTTGCCTAGATATTACTTGCACACTGAGTTGCACTGTTCCGTCGGTTTTTACTCCTTGATCAAAAAGACTTCGATCTGGGTCCAGCTTGATAAGAGAAAAAAAAATTAAAAATATGTATTAGTCTCACAGTTATAAGAAACTTATTCTCCTTTAAACTTTAGAAACACTTAGTGTCTGCAGCAAGTTCTCTGAAGAAGCGTGCAAATATTTTTAGTACTATGTAGAGCTAGTACGTGACAAAGAATTTGATCGGAATTTGAAAGTTGCCACTCTGTTCTGTTTAAGGTAGTTTCACTTACAGGGACATTTTTTAACCTACATAAAGCAATGCAATACCTGGAAGTACCTTCAATTCGTGAAAAGTATCTACGGTTCCTTTTCTCAGTTTTTAACACCTTCATAAAAATTCCTGTCTTTAAAGCAATATCCTCCCTGTTGTTTCTGGAGAAGCCACAGATGTCTGATTAAAACTACAAATAAAACATGCAGCTAAACACAATGCGAAACTGTTACACTGTCTAACATGTGGTGATGTCTATAAAAATGAGGGGGGTGGATTTCTTGAGTAATGTTTTGCTATCTATGCACCTGAATAGTATAAAAACCTTCTTGCTTTATTCAGATTCAAACCAAGATTAGACTCACGGAAGTTCAGGCAGCAACAAACACTGTGGGCTACCTCAAGAGAAGACAGTATTGTCATTGCCCTCATTCTTCTTTCACTTGCAAGGTGGTAATTTTTCGTTTTCTTACCCTCACCCCAGGAACGCCGAAAGTATTCTGATTTTATTCACACTGAGTTAGTGTGTACATATTAAATGGTATGATGATAATGAATCCGACATAAAATTAAACTCTTAATTGTAATTAATATACCAAATGAAGCATGAATTCCACATACAATGGAAGAAAGGGACAAAGCATGTAAAATGCTTCTTCATTAAGAGGTTAAATCTTTCATAGCCCTTCAATTTACCTGGATATCTTGCAGACAGATTTCATGTGCATCCAGGGAACACTGCAGCCTGGGTTCCAGCAACTTCTTAAGATTTCCAATTGGTTCATTGATGTCAATAGCTTGACTCACAAATTCTGCTGTGGTGTAGGTTTGCTCAACAATGCTTAAAAATTAAATTAACACAACAAATCATTACCTACCTGTTAATACAGTAGGTATAGAAAAGCTTAAAACCAGAAATAAACTACATAAAAGGTAATACTGACTCTGAAATCTTAATACCATGCAGAAAAACTCAGCTTGAGTTGAGAGCAAATTACTAACTTTGGTCCCATTGATTTTACAGTTCTTTTACCCTGTTGCTGTTAAAAAGCTAGGTTAAGTACCAAGATTATTTTCAGATCACTGCTTACAAAAGCATAAGTCACGATTAGCATATTATACATTATTAACTCGCATGTAAACAAATTCTATTTGTCTTGTCCAGACTGTATTTAAAAGATAATCAAGTTTGAAACAAACACAGAAACTTAGCAGATAGGGAAAAAAGAAGGAAAAAATGTCCACCACTCTCATACAGAGTAATTGCCCATGTCTTTTCACCAGACACCACAAGGACAAGGTTAACGCATATAAGAGACAACCAGAAGGAACTACAGCAACAGGGAGCCTTGAAGGAAACATTAGTCATGGCTGTCCTGCACTAAAATGATGAGGGAGAATTGGCGCAGACATTCGGAAACATCAATGTTATGGGACTCGCATCTTACCAACAACCTCAGACAGTCGGTCTCTCTACATTTACACAAAAGGAAATCAGAAAGTATAAAGAAAGTATACATAGTCAGTTTGTAAGTAGTGAAAATATACAAGAAGCTCTGAATAAAATCAAACTAATATGTGGTTTGGAATCAGTTCTCCAAAACAGGTTCTTAAGAGCAGGTCACCTACCAGCCTCAGCTATTTCTATCCAATGCATTAAATGCCCCTCAGTGCTTTCAAAAACAGTTATAAATATTAGGAGGAAATATATAAATATATATAAATATTAGGAAGAGAAAAACCCAGGTTGACCTAATTAAGTCAAAAGATATCAGACTTCAGTATCTACCATTTCAATGGCCATAACAATATAGTCAACAGATACAGAACATCATTTCTGCTCCGTTAAAACCAAATGACCCACTGTAACAGTAAAGCAATGGACTGGAGAAACTGAAAGGTTCATCTCAATTACAGAAGGATACACTGAAGCTGAAAGGTTTGCAGCATGTACATGTACACATATTCCTACAGACATGAAAGTACGGGAAGAGAACTACTAAGAATGTAGCAAGAGGTAAACAAAACGGTTTGGGATTTAAGCAATTAAGATTGAAGAACATGATAGCACTACACTGGTTTCCTATAGTGGCTACAGTTCCACTTCAAGAAAACCACCGTTTAGTTAGATAAGAAACAGAAAAACTGAAGAGAGCACAACCAAAACTAAGAACTTCGTATCCAGTAAGAAAGTTGAAAAACTGTTGAAACAATCAACAGCAGGATTACAGAGATCATACTGAGCCAGTTACTTCTGCCAGTTTAAAGTTGCTTCTCTCGTCTAGCTAGAAAACACTCGTACTTATTTCATAACCATGGCCATCTCTGAAGTGTTACGCAATACCCAGTTATAAATCTGAGTAACCAAACTTACTGCGTGCAGCCACAAATCTAAAACCAATTAAAGAAAACAAATAAGTAAATGAATTGCAGCCTGAGGACCCCAAAAAAGCAAAGGCGGTACATACCTTTCCTCAGTGCATTCCTGATTCTCAGTTCCATCGATTTCTATCTCTATCAGCTCCTCTGCCTCTCTCTTAGTCATGGCTAAAATGTCTTAAGAACAGAGCTATGAATAGAAAATAATATTTTTTGTAAGTCACAGACCAACAAAAGTAGATGATGGGTTGTATCCTACCAAACATTTGTTAAACCAAATACCAGGATAGCTTTTTAAAGACAAGAATTCATCTAAAAAATAAAGCCAAAAGCTAATACATATTTCACAAAATAGATGACGATACCTGTTCCTCAAACAAACGTTCTTGGGGCAAATCCAGGACTATAAAGGGACATTAGCACAGAGCCCAAAGCCTGATTTTCTTGGAGGCATCCAAATTTACTGAATGTTTTTGTTATGGGCCAGCTACAGCCTTTAGTGGCTGGCTGCAAAGAACTTTCGAAAAGTCTTTGAAAGTTAGGCGTATTTTGCCATCTAGATTCAGCTACATACTACTACCTTCCTAGCAAGGCTGAAAGACGCTGCTTATAAATTTAAGCAGCATTTTACATGAAATGCTGCAACAGGAAGCGAGATAGGAGATCCATGATTTCCTCATAGGTAAATAAACTCAACAATAAAGTGTTTATTGGCTCTCCCATCTTTTCACCCATCCCTCTCACAGGCAATCGATCACTTGATGATATATGTATAATGAATGCATCTTGTTAAATCCCAAATTAATGCAGGATGTTAGCAATTAAAAGGAAAGCTATTCTGTGATGATATTCTCCTTGACAGTGCAGATTTTCATGCCCTGTAGACTACTGGTGTCTCTTGGAACGTAAGGGGGAAAGAACTACAGCATTTGGTCTGTAAAGACATATTTTGTATAAAATTATCATGTTTCACGAACCATCCCATACATTGTAAGTATGAAATACATATGATAAAGAACTGGGTCAAATGATATCAACAAATTAGCAAGGTTTCCACTCTGGAATCATTCTTTCCCAGGGACTACTCTATCCCAAACCCAACTGTTAATACGAGAATTTATTAAATACAAGTTAATAAGAGAACATATTAAACTTTAAAACTCAAAAGGAATAGTAACCAACTACATAAAAAAAAAGAGGATGAAATTCATTATGAAAAGGAATACATTATGAAAGAAAGAGGATGAATAACATCATGAAATCATGTAAAGTCATTCACAGTTCAGAGAAACCTAACAGGGAACATTATTCAGTCTTTCCTATGCTAGAATAGAGAGACTTCTGATAATATAAACATTCCACGTGAAGTCTAGTGAAATTTGTTGCTACAGGATGATGCAGAGCTCGAAAGCGTACATAGGTGCAGATGGGACCAAGCTTCCTGCACCTTCCCTGAAGGCTATCGAGAAACAAGAGAACTCAGCCTGGCTGGCTAGGAGGGTCAATGTGGTAACAATACTACAACAGCAGCATTTGTTCGGAGGAACAGACAAAACTCTGCTTAATTTGTTTAAAGTACAGCCTACTGATTTCTGTTTGTTCTTATTTTTCCTTCCACCTAAAAAGCCTTATCTGTTACCTGAGAAGGAATCTGACCATAACGCCCAACACAGACCTCCGCTAACGTAACAGAAAGCACCTGTCAACAGAGCCTTTCTTCCCCCTGCAGGACAGCCCAGTGCTAGCCCAGTATCTCTTACGGTTTGGCTTTTGCAGTTAGGGGAGAAGCCTCACTGTTCTGTTAAGATCTATCTTTTCTTTTCCGTAGAACACAAGCAATTAAGCAAGTAACAAGCCCATCATGATATGGGCACACGCTCTACTAGTAGAATTAGCGTTTGTTATCCTACCAGGTAATGGTGAAGTGGGGGCAACTACTGGAGCACGTATGAACTATCAGCTGACACTGAGGCCCGATCACTGGAGGTACTTGTGCTCCGGTGTTCGTGCAGCATTTGGTACTATCCGTCCCTATTACTCAAATCGCAAATACCAACACAAACTAGGTAACAAAGCGGACAACCTATCCTTTACAGATCAGCTTTTACCAGTTATCAGCCAGTTCGGATTTAAGACAAAGACGGCGGACCACTAACGGGGGTGGAGTCATGCCAGATTTCAGACCAACAGTCGGAAAATAACCCGAACTGGGAGAAGTGGTTGTGCAGCACGTACCGGGCCGAACACCAGGAAACAAACTCCGCAAGACGCCAAATACCCTCTTACGTTTCCACCCAAAAAAACCCCGTTCTTACACGCGGAGATAAGTTTTTACGCCCCGGGGAGGACTCACGGACCTCGGCCCGGGCTCCCGGCAGGCCCGGCCCCGGGAGAGCCTC